GTACGAACCCTTCGTACGAACAAAAGTAAGAGAAATTTAGGATAAGAATACGAACATGTTCTTGCATAAGGCCCAATGAACTTTACAGGATTATTAAATATATGCTTTATTTGACATATGGGTAAAATAAATCTGTTATTTGCACAGGTAAATACATTATTGTTAAAAGATGATTCCTCCACATTCCCTTGTGTCTGGGACAGTTTCTGAAAATTGAAGGGTCTCCATGTATTTGTGTGAAATAAGTGTTCAATGTAGAATCACTTCTTGACCTGGTCTAACATGAGCTGAAGCGTCATGATGTTTTTCATGTAGAGGGGCAGACTGACATGGTACTAGAGCAGGAGGTGCAACGTATTCAAGGCCCAGAAATCCGGCCTGAATATGTGCAGCCTCTTTCRTGCCAGCACTGTTATGTCACCAGTGGCTGTCTGCCCTGTACAGGAATGTACACTAGCTGGAGGAGGCCGGGCGAGAAAGAGAGCACCCTCAGTACTGCCTGAAACACGATGATGTCCACACACACACACACACATAGGACACGCACACAAGTTTGCCACACTAGGAAAATGGTGCACACTTGCAGTCTTTCTGCYTCACCTCTTGTTATAATGTTAGACATCATTTTTACAAGTTGTAATTAAAACTTTATAAAATGTGGCAACAACATTTCTTTGCATGAAAAGGTCTAAAACYGTGATGATGTAGTGTTGAGAGTTGCTGAAAACGCAGAGGCTATTTTGAGAGTCATGGTGGGTGGAGTCAGGTAGAGGTAGAGAAGAATTTAAGAATGACGGGGTGAGGATCTTCCTTCACTGCCCTGTGTCGCTCACCCCAGTACTCCCACTTTTTTTCCCCCCAAAGATCCGACTTGCAGTTTTCCTCTAAATTCTTCTCTTGTTTATTCCTCCACTGTTTATATTCCTGTATGTGTAGTTAGCTTTTGCTASCTTTTTAGGACCTTTTCTGAAATAATTACCTACATTATCTGTTCTGTTAGTCCTTATAGAGAKCAAAACCGGTCCCAGTATGGAGGAACAACATTTTTGGGCTATCCATTAGGTTTCAGGCTAAGGTGTGACTTGAGTTACAGTGAGAGGTTATGCATGTATTGGTAATAGTAATGGCTCAACTTAGGGTCTGGGTTAAGCTACAGAAACYGATGGAAGTCACTATGATGCCTAAATAAAGATAGAAAGACAAAGTTATTGTGTTCCTTTCCAGTGTGGGAGCCACACAGGCCACTCCCACACCTCCATCTCTCATTTTACCTCCACTGTGTTCTGACCCACCCCCACCCACTCTGCTGAGTACTACATGTTCAGTGGATGAGCAGGCAGCATGAAGGAACATAGTCCCATCTACTCTGGCCTTTACCTTTTAGTTTCTGTCACTTTGTTTATCCACAGGTATCCATGCTATGGAGAAGTGGTTGTTTAAAGAAGGWTCCTCTCAGTCAAAAGAAACACAAGCTCAGTATAATTTTTTTAATTTTATTTTTTTACATACAGTCATTACGATAACTATTGCAAAATTGTTAAAGGGGCAGTATTATGCATTTTCCAGGCACATAGTTCGYTTTTATACCACAATAAAGTTACTTTATTACCCCAGTTGTTCAGAAAAGCTGAATATGAAAAACAAATTTGCCTTTGCATCAATTCCCCTAAGACCTTTTGAAATTAAGCCTTCTATACTGGGCACATAAATCAGCCCATGACAATAAGGTTACTGCAACCTTTACACTCCTATTGTAAATACACAACACAGCCAGTTTGAACCTGCGCTTMTGTTGGGAAAATACCCACTGTTTTGGGTTTTTATAGAGTTTAAAATTAGCAGTTTTGTCACTCTTATTCTTGGAAATAATCCATTTTTGTACAGGAGATTTTTGTATAAAATGAAACCACAACCGTAGACTGTATTGAGTCTTACTTTCTGTGAATAATCAGTTTATATGTCATCTGAAATGCCGTAATATTATTATTATTTTTTTGGTAGGTTTATTAAACTGSATGACACATTCATTTTGTAAATATGAAAGAATTGCAGAACATTAATGGTTTTATTTTCTTGGCCCACAATAAATGGCAGAGCTCTACTAATCTCTCAACTCATTTTCTGTGTTAAATCTCTTGCTTTTGTGTGAATGTGCTTACAAACAGATTTTTATTTTTATGTTTCCATTTTCTACTCAGTTGGTTTTATTGACGTGCTCGATCAAATGCAAAAGTTAATAAAATGYGCATCAAAATACTCAGCTTTTTCTTCAATTTCTCACTAGAATCTCATTTTCTTAGCTGTTATTGAATGCTAGTGTACAACACAACATCCCTCCTCTGCAGTGAGATCCAGGACTGCAGTAATGAGAAACCTTGTCCTGTTRATTCATTGCTTTTCTTATTAGGATTTATTTCTGACATTGTTTTTGTTTTTATTTCTGCAGGTCTACACACAATGAAATGGAAAAGAACAGGTATGTAATAAAATCTTCACGCTTCATTGTGGGTTTGCATGTTTCTGCTGCTCCTGAATCCATCACTAGTTCAGTMCACAGCATCCAGAGTTCTTTGATCCTTAAGATAAGATCTCACTGAGCTGTAAGGCTGTTGGTGACTTGTTGGTAAACAGCATTTGTAAGAAGTGTGAATTTTCTTTTGAGTTGCTGAAGCTCTCGTCTTATCCTCGAGTTTTGAACATGTTAAAAAAATAAGTGCAGTAAATTTTATCTTTGCTTTTGCAGTTTTCATTGGTGTCTCCCACCATCTCAAGAGTTATACAATTCTGTTTTGCCACCTGCACAGTATCTCTGACAAAAAACATCCAAGACGATAGCCCAGAATGTCCAGGTGGTAAAAACCACACCAAATACAGATAATTAATGATAAATGAGTCCAAATCTCTTTATTTATAAAGAGTACTCTTAGGGAGCAGCTGCCAAGATAGGTTTAAAGTGAGTCAAGGAGGGTACGATGTGGCCAACAAAATGATGTGCACAACCTAAATTATGCAAGCAGTTCACATGAATATAGGTCAGGATTTTCAGGGCCATTTTTATTAAAGCATTAAGGTTTTTAAATCACAGAATCAGTATTAATTTAAAAAATAAGTACTGTGTGGAGTATTTTTTTGTGTTAAAATGCTTTTAACTCAATGTTTCAGTAGGTTTTTACTAACTGAGCTGTTTGTTCACCACCTCGACACTCGACCAGGTCAGGAGGTGTGTTTGTTGTGTCAGCGGATTCAATAGGACCTTTGAATGTTAAACAACTGGCCCATGTAAAACATAAGAACCGTCTTCACGAGATTTCCTTGAAATCATAAATTAATGCATAACCACTCTTGCAGCTTTCAAAACGATTTTAACAGCTAACAACCGTCAACCTACAAGCAAAAGAAAAGCAAAGTTTTTACATTAACTATCGTTAGGATTAATTTTTTGATAACAGTGGCTTGGTGCAGGTCTGTCAGGGACTGAAAACGGTGAAAAGAAAGCCACCAGCATTTCTTTGAAAAGAAAGCTGTGTGTGATAGTTGATCCAAAGCAGCAGCTCAGTAGATGGGGGCTACAGTTTCTTCTGTACATGTGTTCAGGGCTCTGAGTGGTCCTGTACACCTCAGATCTAACAGTAGGCTAGAATGATGGCCGCATGAGAATGTTTACGAGCATCTGCAAAATTAGTCTGTTGTGTAAACAAGAGGCATACAAGCAAGACCCACCTTCCGCTTTGTGACAAAACCATAAGAATTAAGACTTCCCTCTGTGGCTGCCCATACAAACCAGAGTGTGTATGMGTGTTTTTGCCCAAATACTTCCACGTAACCTGACTCCAATCGGCTCCACGGTTTTCTCGCACGCAAGTTTCTCTGTGCTCACCATGGCTGCTCTCTTTCAGGGGTCAGAAGGTGAATGCAGGGACAGTTGTGGTGATTTACTGCTGCTGAGGCAAAGTTCTCCAGCCGACCTAAATGTAGCTCTGAGGAGATAATGGAACTGATTTTAACTGCAGGGGAACGACACACCTGCGGCTGGTTTCCATACMTTTGAGGACAATAACCTGGCGTGTTCTGTTTTTCGTCTGATAAGGCAGCAGCTCCACATACGTTCTCACCTATTGACACAGTAAACCTGAATAACCTGCTGCTGACAGTGCTGCGGCTGTGTTTCTCTCCCTGGCCTGTGTGACCCYAGCTGTTGCATGAGTCTGATGCTCATCAGTGTTGTTTGACAAACATTAGCTTGCCCTGCTGATCCTTTATTATGTCAGAACAACACGGGTGGGGGACATTTTCCTGTTATGTAATGGCACTCTAGATGCCCTTTGGACTGAGTCAACTGAGAAATYCACACTTGTTTTCACCTGCTGCAGCTTTGTGTGTGCGTGCCTGCAAAGGCTTGTCACTTTGTGTACGGGAGGGAATCATTCCCCCTGCCCACATTTAAATCAGCCCAATTTGAATAGACTATGACACCGCATCACATCCAGCCCAGAGAAGACAAGAGAAACACATTTGAACACTCGCTGTCWGGAGGAGTCTGACGTACACGGGCCCACTCGCTCACAGACACGTTCACACGAGTGACGTGGCCGGAGCTGGAGGTGTGCGTTATGTAACAGTGTGGGGGTCAAGTGGCCGACACCACCCACCAGACCTGGTGTGTTGGACAGCAGCTGACAGACCTGCTGCAGCAATGAGGAGAAAGGGGAGGGGTGATCTCAYGATTTATCAAGCTTTGCACATTATTCCTCAGTGAAACACTAAATCTAAGCCAAGTTTGATTACGTCCCTTTAATCAGTTATCTAAAAATCTTCTCACCTGATAAATAACTCGAGCATTCGTGTCAATTCAGAGCAACCGAGACGTCCAGTGGCTCATGAGGGAAACACGTTTTAGTTACATAACTCATTTTTATCACCTGCTGCCAAGAGGCAAAGGCAGACAATAATATTTTTTCGTGTATCTGTGCGTGATCATGTGCCTGTCTGTTAGCAAAATATCACCTGACAGAATTCGATAACACTCTCAGATAGTACATCTCAGTGTTTCCCCTAGGAAGGGGGGTGGCGGAGTTACTTGTTTTATAAAAACATAAATTTATGCAACTCACCTGCAATTATGATAATAAATTTACACATACATGAATATTTAATTGCCCAACTACATCCTAGTTAAGGACTCCTCATGATAATTATCAATAAAATTATTATTGATAATAAATGATCAGAACTGTGTGCAGCAGATGATCTGAGTCCAGAGTTCTGTTTGAAACCTCCTGGAG